AAACTCGTAAGTAAAGATGGATCAATGGGACCTACTCAAGATGACTCAGTAGGCTCGGCATGTACCTCAACATTACTATCCTGAGTAGTAGCTACATCTTCAACCTCTGCGTCAACATTACTGTAATCAGTATGAACTACATCTTCAACCTCTGTAATATCCTCAATGTGATCTTGGGGAGCCGCTCTCTGTCTCCTCGCTGAGGCCGTGGGACGTTGTTTATTAGGTCGGGATGATAAAGCTTCAGTAGTACACCTGTGAATCCTCTTCATATCTAAAAATAAACAATATTAAGTACACACTCAGTAACGTATTCGGTACATAATCACTGAAAAACGGAAATAAATTCAGTGAACAATCACTGAAAAAAGAATACATATTCGGTGGAGTACCACTGAAAAACCGAAAGAAATTCGGTGGGAGTCCCCTGAAAAATAGAAACAGATTTGGTGGACTACCACCGAAACAAGGTAACAATTTCAGTGGTAACCCACTGAAAGTACAGGTTCAATTCGGTGGACTACCACTGAAGCAATGTAATCATTTCAGTGGCAATCCACCGAAACTAGAATCCATTTTCGTAAAACCAAGTTCGAACTACCCAAAACCTTGAAATCGAAATCGAAATCAATATCAGACTTTGGCTTTTCAAAAGTGAAATCAAATGTAGGCTTAATCAACACTTAGAAACGTAAATATATAAACCAAATTTGAAATCAAACCTTGAATAAGGATTTGTGAGAACTTGACCTTCAATGGCTTTCGGGTTTGCAGAGATGGAGATGGGTGTGATTGTTCTGTTTCAGAGATGGTTCGGGTTTGCTGGAGGCAATGGCAAAGGGCTTCTTCGATGGTGAGCAAAGATCTATGATGGCAAAGAGATGAGTTCTTCGATATTCTGCGATGAAGGCAATGGCAAAGGGCTTCTTCGATGGTTCTGCGATGGAGGTTGGTGTAAATGGGATGAGGTGTGCGATGGGGTGTGTCTGCAAGAGGAGAGAATTTTCGGTGGGGTGTGGCTGGATATCAGATAGGGTGGGGTTTGATTTCAGACGGGGTGTGGCTGAAAGAGAAGGGGATTTTCGGTGGGTGGTTAGTGAATGGGGTTTATGAGGGCAATTTAGGGGAAAAAAAAGGGGTTTAATGAGTAATTTGAAATTTTATTAAAATGTAATGGGGTGTAAAGAGTAATTTATGGGGTTCATATAGAATTACCCATATATATATATATATTATTCTAAAGGTTTTATAATACCTTTAATATTACTTTAGTGCTTTAGAAATTTTTAAATTTAAAAAAAAAAGTAAAATGGTTTTACTTATACAAATAATAATAACTCAGTTGCGCGCTGCTGCGCACCGTATCAAGCACCGTGTGCTGCTCTGACTCGTTTTGGTCAAGCCATCAGACGGTATTTGGCGCCGTATTGCCTGAATTCCCAATAGCTCGTACCATCTCCTCCTTCTTTGGGTTTTACTCTTTCTCGGAGGGTTTTAGACAGAAAAAAAGAGATTTTCTATTTAAACCCCGCACTTCTCTTTGTTCACCCCAATACTTAAATAATTAAGCTGTAAGTTTTATTATTGTATAAAAAGACAAAAAAGGTCATCCAACTTAATAATTAACCCTAGTACATCTATACACACACCCCACCACTCTTTATATTAAGTTTTAAAAACCTCCTTCCAACTTCATGTTTACAAACTCTCTCTCTCTCTCTCTCTCTCTCAACTCAAAAATACCAAAGTGTTAGAATTTCAGTTACAGTTCTTGGAGAGAGGTAAAGTTGTTCACTTTCTCTAGAAAATATTAAATTTCTGATTTGTGGTTTCATTTGTTTGTGTTTTTTTTTT